GGAATTCTGGGAGTTGAAGTCCACAAGTCTTAAAGCTGTCAAGTTTGAACACCCCTGGGTTTTTTTTTCTAAAGGGGTGCAAGGGTCTTGTAACTTGACAGCTTTAAGACTTGCGTGCTTCAAATGCCAGAGTTTCTGAGCCAACATTTTGGTTGCTAAGCAAGAGCGTTGTTAAGTGAGTTTCATCACATTTTACAAGTTGGCCACGCCCACCCAGTTACATGGCTGGCAAGCCACTCCCACCCAGTCGCATGGCTGGCAAGCCATTCCCCTCCCATTCACATGGCCGACAAGCCACTCCCACAAAGCAGGCCACACCTACAGAAGAGGTTCTAAAAAAATTTGAAACCCACTACTGGTTCTAGGGTCCCACTTAGGCATGAAGACTGGCCCAAAGCTAGGTAACTTTAGGCCAGTCACTCCTTCTCAGCCAAATTCATCTCACAGGGTTGTTGGGGGGGGGGGGCGAGAAGCAGGAATATTAGGTGTATTTGCTGCCTTGATTTGGGGAAAATAGAAAGAGAAAGGAGCACTAGGTAGATTATTACCTTATTTATCAAAACAATGAAGACAGAAAATAAATAAATTAAATGCTTTGGGTGACATTAATTTAATGTGCATGTGCTTTTTTATTAGTGTTTGTAGAGTTCATCTAAAATTAACAGCTAAATAATTTCTCCTTGATTGTCTTAGCCAGCAGTCTATTATTTGTCTGTAAATAACACTGTAAATTATGAATCTCTCTTGGCTTAGGGCCCATTTTTTCAATGGCTTCGTGTTTCTTTTTTTAACTTGAGCAACTGTTGTGTTTAGTTATCTATTACATTAATCAGTGTCTGCGATAAAGAAGAACAAATAGACATGTAAGAAAGATATATTGTCTCCAACAAAAATTTCCTTTATGCAGTCATCCTTCAGCAATTTTCTGGTTTTCTCCAAGGGGAGGTGAGGGCAACAATAACCTTAACTGAATGCAAAGCAATTGGCATAGACGCACCAGTGGTGGGTTTCTGCCGGTTTGCACCGGATCGGGGGAACCTGATGGTGAAATGGGCCCGGAAGTAACTTCCGGAACGCCTCCCCCGGCCCTGTCGCGCTCCACGCTCACCCCCGCCCGCTGGAGAGGTCCAGTGGCACAATCCACCAAACAGCAGAGGCAAGTTCAGGAGTTTTCTCCTGGATTCCCCTCTGTCTTGCCTCCTCCAATCTCCCAAAGTTCTTTCCCCCGCGTGTGATAGCTTTCTATTGGATTCCCCTCTGTCTTGCCTCCTCCGATCTCCCAAAGTTCATTCCCCCGCATGTGATAGCTTTCTACTGGATACCCCTCTGTCATACCTCCTCCAATCTCCCAAAGTTCTTTCCCCCGCGTGTGATAGCTTTCTATTGGATTCCCCTCTGTCTTGCCTCCTCCAATCTCCCAAAGTTCTTTCCCCAGCGTGTGATACCTTTCTATTGGATTCCCCTCTGTCTTGCCTCCTCCAATCTCCCAAAGTTCTTTCCCCAGCGTGTGATACCTTTCTATTGGATTCCCCTCTGTCTTGCCTCCTCCAATCTCCCAAAGTTCTTTCCCCAGCGTGTGATACCTTTCTATTGGATTCCCCTCTGTCTTGCCTCCTCCA